AGTTGTTTGCACAATTCTAGTACTTCAATATAGTCTAACGTTCTGTTGTCATTCCTAAACAGGTAGTTGCACCCATAATAAATGGTTTTTTTCTTTGAAAATATTTATAAATCTTATATAAATAGAACTTTATGCATTTGTCTTTTATAAGTATTAAACTAAAAATATATATTTGAAGATCTAGAAGTAGTATTTATTATACTTTAATCAATAAGTCTTAAAACTTTATTTTTTGTCTATTGTTAGCAGTAGAATTGAGTATAGGGACAGGATTGGTATGGGTTATATGATGTGGTGCGATATATTAGTTCATGCATCAATTTAGGAAAAAAAGTTTAAAAAGTCTATTGGAAATTTATATGACACAATATAAGATTGACAGATATGTTACAAATAATATAAATATGAGTAGAATAGTCAGTAGCAAGAAATTAAGTTGAGAGAGAATAATCTTGTAATAAACCTGTATTTTGTAGTATGATAATAATAAATTTCACCTAATAAAATATTTTTCACCTAAAGAATCCAGTGGTAATCAATATCGAGCCTATTGGAGAAGGATTAAGTCATAGAGATAAAAGAGAAGAAGAAAAGTTAAAGAATTGTTATACTAACAAATACCTTTGATATTGCAAGCAACATGACCCCAAATGATAGTAAACAGCAAGCTTAGTTCCAAAGTAGTAACAGACTTGCTAGCAGTAATAATACTATATATAATATAATTAATAATTAATAAATTAAGATAAAAATTTAAATAACATATTTGAAATATGAAGAATAAATTTACTAAAGAAATTCTTTAATTATATATATTATAACAATCATTTGATCTTAAATTTTAAATATAAAAATTGATAAAAATTATTATAATATAAAAATTTATTAAATAAAATCAAAAGAAATATAATATATTAAGACTTGTGAATTTATAGTACAATAATTAGCACTCTATAGGTCAAATTATAAAATACCAGTTCAATTCCAAATAAAGATAATTAAACAGAATTATATAATATCTGATACTATAACCTGTTAAATATCATTTCATATATAAAGTTATTTAACATATTAATTTAGCAAGTATTGTAATTGAAATTTTCAGAAAAGATATTAAGGCATAACAATTGTTTGATTTGTGCTATAATAGTTAGCAAAAGTATGTTTATAGTGAATAAATAATATTATAAGTTAAATAGCATGTATTTACAAATCTTTTCTAAAATATAAAATTTGGATTTTTTTTTTCTATAGTTTTCAAAAAAAGAATAGATAGTTTATATTCTTAAAAGATTGATATATATTTTTTTTATCAAATTTGATATTGTTTACTTGTTAATAGTTAGACTAGATATATCTAAAAAACCTATATATAACTATTATTATTTAAAAGTATTTAAAAAAGTGTACTTTACAGTATCTAAAGCAATATAGTAATCAATATCAATGCAACTAATAATAGTTGCAAGTGTTATACTAGTAATTAAAAAATGTAATAAAATAATATATAAATATTAATGATTCTAGTTATCTTATAAAACAAGCTGATAACAATAACAAAAGTTTTTTGTTTATTTTTTTAATAATATAGATCATTGTATAAAATTAGATACTAGTACCTTTAAGAAATTTTAACACAAAATTTTATTTATAAGACACTTTTACTATATTTTAAAAATATATATTAAATCTTTTCATAACTTGAAAGCAAATCTATATAAATGGATACAGTACCTTTGTAAAGGTTTTAATAAAATTGTTAGTGATTTCAAAAGACAGTGAACTTGAGTAATTATTATTTTAACACCAATAGAGTTGGGACTTTATTAAGATTGAAAGGGTATTTTTTTATATATATTGACTTCATACATATAAAATATATAAATAAATAAATATAAAAATACATATATCTATATAAGATTTAACCTCTGGAGACATATGTACTTAATTAACATAAAGAAATATAAAAGGAAATAAAAAGATAATAATATAAACAATATGCACACTTTATGATCATATGCTTCTAATTTGGTTACATTAGCTTATATTAATTAATTAGTGGCATCTTGGCAGTGTGGCACATTGTCAGGGGTTATAATCGCATTGTATATGTGTCTAACTGTTATTTGAGAATGTGTCTCAGACTTGTAAGTCATCAAGGATGGATCGAATACCTTCTGAAGTGTCCGGATCGCTTGATACAGTAGGGTCCTGTGGTGTAATTATAAATCAAGATTGTTATAACCTTTATATAAAAAAGTATTTACAATTTAATTATTTTTAATATTATTTTATTTGTCAAATATTAAGTCACATTTGAAAAACATATATGTCAATCCTACTTATAATTTGAAGACAAATCTATATAAAGTGACTGTAGTATTTTTATATAATTCAGTAATCAAACAATCTTTAGTTAATTAAATATTATTCAAGGTTACAATATAAATTTTAAAATTTTTTTTACTGTATTTTTTTAGTAATTCCAAGAAATATAGAAGTATGGCTATGGTATAAGCTTTGAATTAAGTTCTTTCCAACAACGAGAAATGTATAGTATCGTGGGTCAAGGAGTCTATTAGCAGTAATGGCAAAATCTTAGACTTCATGATACTTTGACAGGAGTATCTGTTATAACAGGGAGGCTTAAAGGTAGAAAAGAATGTAGATTTGGTGAGTTTGTGTGATTTGAGAAATTTTATTGATCAGAACAGTGTGATAAGTATGTCGATTTTAACACTTTTTTATTGACTAATTTTTTTGCTCCTCTTTTTTTTACTATATTTTCTTATATTGTTTTTATACTTTTTCTTATGGCAAAAGAAAATAAAAGAAATAAAAGAAATAATAGAAATAATAGAAATAATAGAAATAAAAGAAATAAAGAAAATAAAAGAAATAATGAGGTTGAGAGTCAATTATCTATTTTGGCAATCTCTATAATAGCAATCGTCATTTTTTCAATTTCTAAGCCATATTATCAATCGTTATTTCCCCGTAACAATAGCATACTAATAATGATTGTAATCTTGTATTGCAAATTTAAAATTATAATTAATAAAAATAAAGTATTATAGACTTTTGCTTCTTAAAGAAAATATTTTTTTAAAAAATAATTTTATATTAAAATTTTAATTTTTGAATATTGTTATATATATAAATTTATATATAAAAAATAAAATGCTTTTGGTAATTTTTTTTTTAGTTTAAATTAATTTTTTATATATTTTGTTTATTAGATTATAAAAAATATATTTTTAAAGTTTTATTTTAATTAGATATATATTAATTAAATTAAATAAAAAGATATTATTCAAAGACTTTTTTAATATACTGTATATTTTATAAATTAATATTAATTTTGATTTTTTAAAATTAAAAAAAAATTTTGGTTTCTTTGATAATATTGCAATTAAATTAAATATATATTTTTTACAAAATAATATTAACAATTCACTTTTTAATTATAAAATGATTTCAAAAATCCAAAATTTAAACATAAATATCAAATATTTTTGAAATTTGTTTTTTTTTAAACTTTTTAACTTGATTTGTTTAATTCAATAAATATATCAATAATTATTCTGATCCTTCCAAAGAGTGTTTGAGAAATCCTTTTTGTATTTGATATTTTTCCGACGTTTTTTGGTATGGCTTTTTTAACAAGATATACAAGCAATACGATTTACTGTATTTACAAATTTTATTATAATTACAGTATATGTTATTTATTAAAACTGCTATTTTATTTATTTTATTCTAGATGCTAAAGTACGACTCGATTATATAAGGTGTAGAGACTTAGTTACAGTTAACCAAAAATGCGGCATGGATAGCTGCTTATTTGTAATATTTTAAGTTGCTTTTTATTTGACAAATTTCCATGTATTGAAATTGATATTGGAGCACAAATATTTTATACTGTTGTATCAGGGACGCGATGTCAGTCACGTGATCGATCTGTGAGACAACGGTGGGAGATAATTAGGTAATAAAGGAAGGACGGGAAGGATTGTGAAAAAAAACTATGTCATCTTGCTTTAGCCATGTCATTGTATTAGGCTTATTATTTCATACACAAGCCGCCATAGCCAAATGAGCCAAATGTAAAGAAAGAGAAGTATAAATAATATGTAAAAGTAGATATAGAGACTCGGTCAAATAATAACACGCCTCAAATAACTCTTTCGTTCACTTACCTAATAACGTTTACGCGAATCCCCGTGACACTGTATACTGTAACATTTTTAACAACGCATATATACAATACATGTATACTTAGATTATAATAATAATATTCAATTTTTTTTAAAAAACCAATCAAAGTGTTTTATTTGAAAATGCTGGAGTAAGAAAGCCGAAACCAACATAGTTTCCTGAAGGTGTCGTTTCGAAAACAGAGTAGACATTTTTGAGGAAAGGAGTACCGATAGTACAGCGTCTTTCAGGACGGCCAATAATGTTCGTATGACAAAGCTCGTCATTGTACCTATTGCCTATTATATCTCTGGGTGGAATTGTATAACTAACAGACCCAAAAGTGATTATAAAGCTTGGTGTCGAATCACATGGGACAAATAGTTTGTGTCTTTTATTAACAGCTGAGCCAGGGATTAAGTTTGCAATGCTATCAACGTCGGAATATGGTATCTTCAGAATACTAGCACCGGTATCGATCAAACAGAGAAGTTGTCTAAAGGTCGGGTAAGTATGACCATTTACCATAATACTCTGCAATGATATTTTCCAATCAGGTTCATTATCGTCGACTCTATTAAAACTAATTGGAGAAATAAATCTGGTGCGATCAATATCTCCAATATGTAATCGACCTGCATTACCAGTACCTTCACTTTCACGACCAAGGTAGACGCCAAAACGCGGATTTGGGATCATGCCATTATCGACCATATACATGAACGCAGATTGGCCTCCTAAAGGGGTTGGAAACTCGAAATTGAAACCCATGATTCCATCGAATAGTTTATCTTGAAAGTAATCCATCTTCGTGGCGAGACCAAAAATTTGTTGTGGGATGAGTGCACCATTTATACTGAGGTCAGCGGAGCCAATATAACCCTCAACGCTGCCTTTACCATATCTTATTTCGAATGATTTATGATTTGTTCTAAAACTACCGTCTCGTTTTGGATTATATTTTCTCTTGTTTCCACAATTGGAACAACTTATATCGGAAACCCAGAGATCTGTAGAACCAGTATCTAAAAGAACATTAAAAATTTGTCTTCCGAATGAAATAGGAAAAATATAACCCTTATCACCGTTTATACTTGTGAGTGGGAGCTCATAAGCAACCTGCCGCTTATGAGGTAGGGCAGCAATAGTGTATAAACGCGTAACAACTAAAAGGGTGAAAATATAACTTATTTTCATTTTTAACTGACGCAGAAAAGATTCTGGAAGGGTTATATTTGTCAATGAGATCTTACGTTAGGATGAGTAAGACTCAAGTGCAACGAGACAATCATCCTTGCCCTGATATTTATACAATATCTAGTATTACAAGAACTCTTTTTTCCAGTACTTTATTTCCTCTCTAAATAAAGTTAGAGAAAGGATTTCTTATTTGGTATCCTAAATAGAATGACCGCATACGTATTAAGGTTGCTTTCTCATCAATAAATGTAAATATATACAATCTTGTCCACTCGTCTTACAATGACAATGTAGGTAAAACAATACGCATCTTGGGAACTAGTTTTAGATGATTTTAAGGATTCGAGATTAGTACTTTTTCCTCTCTAAATAAAAGTTAGAGAAAGGCAAGTTGTCTCTTATTTTGATACCTAAATAGGGTGTATTTTTATGACCGCTTTACCAGTCCCCGCCAACTTGGGCTGCGCCCGCGTAACGGTCTTTAGCTTTAGTATAGAAGCAGTGAGAAGGAAAGGTATAGCTTTAGAACATGTTCGAGATTGTTACTCTACATATTATAGATGAGCATCCTTTTATACATGCATGCTTCGAAATTGCCTAATGAAGTCTAAGTAGTAAATAAAAGGTTATTCCTGATGTTTACAAGAAAGTATAGTCAATTATGAAAGCTTGTAAATTAACTACAATAGGCTCCGTGAGACTCCAACAACATCACAGAATATCATGTGACACGTGATATCGGCGACCATTTTGACGGGTTACATATACTGTACTACCGTTTTTTTATTAATCGTGCCGATGATCACCGGATTCGGGTACCGTATTTAACTATGAATACTCGGTTCTATTTCCGAAACGATTTGATTATAGTGAAGCGATCTTTTTCAATTTTTATTAAATAACAAGTATTAAATTTATATATATAGAAATTACATAATATTTTATCGACAAATTTTAAGTTTTTCAAAATACAATCAAATAAAATTATCAGTTTTAATTTAATACAGTCTGGTCCAAAAAAAAATTTCGAATAAATTATAATTACTGTATAATTTTACTTATACACCGTCTCCCAAAAAGAACGCAACACATGATCGTCGATCTTTAAGTGTTAAAATTTTGATCAAATCACGGCGAAATTAACAGTATATACAGTGTATAGTCTAATCTATTCAGTGTATATGGTAGAATAGTGATTAAAATAATAATAATAAATTTTTATGATGCAATTAATAAAAATTTACTGTTGTGCAACTTTTGGCATTTTTGGATAAAAATATAAAAATGCAAAAATTTACACAAACCTTGTATAAACCAAATGTCCTCAAAACAGTTATCTATAGAGAAGAGGACAAAGGTTATTACCTTATTAGAATAAGGTTACAGTTTATGTTAGGTTGCTGTCAAAATTGGCAGCAATGTTCATTATTCCATTATATCTAGATTTAAAAAAAAATATCTTGAAATAAACAAATTAGAAAATAAACCTATTCCTGGTTGTCTGCCTAAACTTACTCTACACGAGGAACACATTATTATCCAAAAAATTCTAAAAGGAGAATGCAAAACAGTCATGGATATATATAGATTCTTGAAAAAATATGAAAAAATAAATATTAGTGTCAACACAATTCAAAGAATTCTTAAAAAAAATCTATTTAAAGCTTATATATGGCACAAGAAATCCTTTTTAAGTAAAACACATAAAAAAATCTAATTAGAATTTGCAAAATTACATAGAAATTAGACTATATAAGATTGAAGTATAGTAGTCTGGTCTGATGAAACTAAATTTCAACTTTTTGGAGTCAAAGGATGCAAATATTGCTGGAGAAAATCTACAGAACCTTTAAAGGATCAATATATAATTCCTACAATTAAATTTAATAAAGATAATATTAATATTTGGGAATGTTTTACTCATTATGGCATAGGATATTTATCTAAAATTGAAAAAAATCTTAATGGGAAACTTTATAGATAAATTTTGAAAGAAAAATTAATATATTCATTAGGATATTATAATTTAGCTCCCAAAGATATTATATTTTAACATGATAATAATTCTAAAAATAAGGCTAAAATAGTTCAAAGATAGTTAAAAAATAATAATATTAGAAATTTTTCTTGATCATCAAAATTTTCAGATTTAAATTCAATAAAAAACATTTAAAATAATGTGAAAAGAAGAATTAATGATTTAGAGATTAATATTATTAATAAAAAAACTTTTTGAAATAATTTATTGGAGATTTAAAATGAAACATCTAAAAAAACTTATAAGGAATATATAGAAACAATGCCTAAAAGAATTAATAATATTATTAAGGCAAAAGATAATTATACAAGATAATAATAGAAATCAAATTTTTATATGTATTTTTATAACTAAATATTTTTTTAAAAACTCCAAAAATATTACAATAGTAAATTTTTTAAAATTTATTATAAAATTTTTTTTATTAATTTAATATATATTTTAATTTATACATTATTTAAGTATACTTATATTCTATCTATGGTATAAATTTCATTATAATCTGATTTATTCTACTTAAAATTTTAACATTTAAAGATCACCAATCAGGTGTTGCATTCTTTTTGAAAGACGATGTAATTTTATAACTAATAAATAATATATTATAAATAAATATATACAGAAAGATCTCTCTAAATGTACCCTCTATAAATGCATTTACTGTATTTTCTCTCTCTAAATGCATGGTCAAGCTTGGTTCCAAGTATATAGAACTCTTAATAAAATTACTTTTATAAATACACACTCTCTATAAATGCACATTTTTTAAAAATTTTCCTATTGTTCCAAGAAGTGTGCATTTAGAGAAAGTTCACTGTATATATATTTGAAACAAAGAATAAGTTTATTTAATAAATTTTTTTATATAAATATTTTATTAAAATATTTTAAAAAAATAATAAATTTAAATTCATTAGAAAAAATTATTAAAGTTATCTCAATAAATAAATTTGTTAAATAAAAATATATTTTATAATAAATTAATTTTTTTATTATTTTTTGTTAAAGAAATTTTATATAAATTTTATTTTTTTTTTTACTATGAATAAGCATAAAATGTGAGACTTTATTTACATAAATAATTATTTATTTAAAAGTATTAATTTGATTATATATGGATAATTATTTTTGAAGGTAATGAAAATGATAATTGTGTTTTTTTCAGCATCTACTTTAAACAATACCTATACAATATAATTTAAAAAACACAATTATAGTGTCTGAAAAATCCTGTTCACCTTCAAAAATAATTATTCATATATTAAATTATAAAATTTTTAAAATAAAACCTGTAGATCAATAATATAGTGAGTAGTACTTCCAAGTTCAAATTATAAGATATCAGTTTTATTTTATATGAAAATGATTAAACAGAATTAAAATTGTATTTGGCATTATAACCAGTCAAGTACTGTTTTTTATTGAAAATTAATTTATAAACAATTCTAACAAGCATTGAAATTATAGTTTTATAAAAACATAATAGTCTAATAATTATTTGATTAATATATGATAGTTGTTATAAAAGTAAATATTAAAAGTATCCAGTTTATAACAAGCTAGTTAAAGAATCTTTTTTTCATATAATATCCAGTATTTTTTCAAATTCAATATACAAATAATAGTCTTATTTCAATTTAGTAAAAATTTTCTTTTAATATTGTTAATATTATAAAATTAAATATAAAATCTCAAATAACCAATATTTTAAATATAAAGTTAATTATGTTTTAATAACTACTATAAATTTCTAGAATATCTTTAATTTTTATTGAAATATTTAAAATTAAATAGTAATATTCAACTATAGATAATAGTAAAGAATAATTTCTAATAGATCTAATAAATTAAGTAGAGTTTTATTTGTTAAAAATATTATATTATATAAAGGATAAAATAAAATCTGATCAAATGAAAAAAAAAGATCAATAATACTTTTAAAGTTACTGATTTTGTGAGCACATTCAAATTAACAGACAACAATCTGTTAAACCTAGCTATTGGCAAATTTAATTCTCCATTTAATCTTCTTAAAAAAAAAAAAGTTATCTCTAATTATACTCTTAAAATTTTATACAAAGCCTGGAAACTGTGATATGCTACTGCAACCATATCACCGTCATCAGGCATAAAATAGAAAAAAACTTTATCTACAAAGTTACCAAGCTCAGATCCAAATGACAATACAACATTCAACACGATTTTAAACCTACTCGAT